AGTTACCCAGAGTGTACTGGTGTATAACAAAGGCATTTCCACCCTGCCCTTTCTGAACCAGAGCTGCCTTAGCCTGGGCCAAGAAGTTCTTGGCAGTTCCATGTCCAAATCTCTGCCAGAGATCCTGCTGTGCTGTGTTGGAAAATGAGCCACTTGATATTCTGCATTACAACTTCAATTACAGTTCATTAAAAATGGGCAAAGTTGTTTGAATCCTTTAATGCTAAGAAAGAGGCTGCCACCAGACTTTTAAAGGCCACAGTTTAGGCCTTCTCTTTACTAGTAGCTTGTTGGTAAATTCTTTGGTAAAAAAAGTGGCGTTTTTGAGTGTGATAACTTCCACTTTTCAAAATGATTTTTAACTTAGCAAGATTCAAGTGTAATCAAATTTGTGATATCATTTGGGGCAGTCTCTGAAAACTCCTGAAAACATTTTATATGCAGCCCTGCTGCTCTTCTCAGTGACTCTGTGTGCAGTGGCAGTGCCCAGGGACCTTTAAAGACACACGGGGGGTTTTCAAAGGCTCAGCCTCAGGGCTCTCCTGTTTGTGAATCCATAGTGGTTTCTGTTGAAATGCATAACCCTTGTGTGGTGTATCCCTGAGAGGAGTTTCTCCTGCGTTCCCCAGGTCTGGAGCACGAGCACGTGTGAGTTTGTGCGGACCCTGAACGGGCACAAGCGCGGCATCGCCTGCCTGCAGTACCGGGACCGCCTGGTGGTCAGTGGCTCCTCAGACAACACCATTAGGTGGGTGCCCAGGGCTGCTGTTCCTGTGTAACGCTGTCCATGTGACCAGGGAAAACAGGATTTCCCCCTTTTTTGATGCCTGCACGTCCTTGGCATGGCTTCCAGTCGGAGCAGAGGATTTATGAGTGGAACTGAACGCAGTGTGAGAGCAAACATATCACAGCCCTGTGAAAAAGTGGGCCACAGGTTTATGTCAAACTAAACAAAACTTCTTGCCTGGTCTTCTGCTTGGAGAGGTGGGGAAGGCATTGGTCACTGGTTTTCTAATTTCCTGAACTTCTAATCAACTGTTTATGCAGATAGAAAAACGTGTGTTAAAATTTCCCAGAGTAACACAGATCTAAGCTTTACTTCCATGCAATTTTGAATGACTGCACTAATTTTGATAAGCTGCAGCTGCTCTGAGTAGCATGCATGGTTCTCGTGCCTTTTAGAGCAAATTACGTGATATTTTGCCCAAGAAACCAGTCGGTAGCACATTTAAATCCCTGGGTGTGAGGCTGAAGCTGCAGTGCTCAACCTCCCTCCTCTGTTCCCTGCAGGCTCTGGGACATTGAATGTGGTGCCTGTTTAAGGGTTTTAGAAGGCCACGAAGAGCTGGTTCGATGCATCAGGTTCGACAACAAGAGGATTGTCAGTGGAGCCTACGATGGGTACGTTTGGAAAGCAGTTGCCAAAAATTTTGTCTTTAGTGAACCTTCTTCTGAAAGCCCCTGAGCCTGGTGTTCCCTGGGCCAGGGGCCTCTCCTGGTTTGGTGAATGGGTCAGTGCATACCCAAGGGGTTTCTGCTTGAGCATTTCAGCACAGTTTTAAGTGGCCAAGAAGCTGCTTTTCTGGTGCCCTTTAGCACACTCCTAAATTGTGTTATCACTCAAGTTTGACTTTCCATTGTAAGTAAACTTGTTTGGCTGAAGTGACATTGCTTTGTTTCTTCCCTCAGGAATCACTCCTTGCCAGGTCCTGTGTGCTTAGAGTAGTTCAAACTTTCTATTTTTCTAAGGCAGCACACTAAAACTGTTTATTATGAACATTAATTTATCTTGGGGGGGCTCTCAGAAGTCTTCAGGGACCATTTCTGTGGAGCTGAGGGCAGGACTCCCACCACTGGCACCTCTGTCTTGCTCAGTGCTTTCAGTCTTTAATGGATTCATGGCATTTTGCATCCCTGTCCAAACCCTCCATTTCTTTCTCAGCAGAGTTACTGAAAACAATTCTGGAACTGTGTCTGTTTTAGCCTTTTATTTGGGGTCAGTGTCTCCCTGTGGTTGGCCAGCCCAGCTTCATTCCCACCTTCCAAAGGGGTTTGTGTGTGCACAATCCTCTTGCCTGTCATACAGCCATCACAAAGCCACCACTGCATTTGCTGCTGAGAAGAAACACAAAACTACCTGTGTTTTACAAGACTGAGTTTTGGTATTTTAGTAACAGCAGAGTCTCACAATTTGCTTAATCCTGAGGAATTAGCTGTAGGGACAACCTGGCAAATCTTCCAGGGCTTTGGATGTTGTTTTCTGTGCTTACACTTGAAACAGTGTTTTCACAATGACCTCTTTCTCTTCCTTTTAGCAAAATCAAAGTCTGGGACTTGCAAGCTGCTCTTGACCCTCGTGCCCCAGCGAGTACGTTGTGCTTGCGTACGTTAGTGGTACGTAACGACTCCTTAACTCGGGCTTGTCTGGAGCACTCTCCTGGTCAGGGGGGGTTTATTGCACTGCAGTGGCATAGAGGGAAATGCCAGGATGTTTTATGAAGTCTGAATTGCTTAAGAGTAAAGGAAGATTTCTTGTCGTGTCCTGAGTGATTTGCATCTGAGCTGAAATGAAAGATCAAGTTTTTCTTAGTTTGGGATTCTCAGGAAAAAAATCATCATGACACTGTATCAGATCTTTCTAGTTATTGGTGTGTTTCCCTGATATCACTGTAGGGCTGGCTTTAAATTTCATCTTTATTAAAAAGAGGGGAGGAATCTTGGGAGCCTTTCCCAAACTTTTCTCCTATCCCTTCACTTTGCAAGGGAAGAGTTGGGAAGGGGAAAGGGGATTGAGTCACACATTGCCACAGGAACTCTTATCCCTTCAAAGGGACATTTAAGGCTGTTGCTTAAGTTATATTTTTTTTATAATTAGGGTTTTGGCTTATGATAGCTGACTTGATTAAAAATAGATTGGGGAAATGAGTTAATTTTTCTTTTAATCAAAATGTGGGTGGAATTTTCCTTCAGGAGTCAGTTTGACAAGCTGATAGCAACCCAAAGTCAGTGGCTGTAGGTGTGCACATGCTTGGCCTTGCCAGCACCTAGAGAAGAGCTGATGTGGCCAGAGATGTTTCTTGTTTTTCTTTCCCTTCAGTAGTCTTGTCACAGAGATGAGATTTAATTCTTTAATTTAGTTTTAGTGAAAAAGTTGGTTGTTTTCCTGCTGTGGGTATCCTGTAGCTCAGGTTAGAGTTTGGGGATCATTCTGCCAGCCGGGATCAGTTCTCCAGTAAAGGCAGTGTCCTCATTTTGAAGTGAATAAAAATGGATAAGCAGGACTAAGAGGAGACCCTTTCCTTTCTGGGCTTCTTGGTGCCACGTTGGGGTTTCTTGGAAGAGCTGCTGGAGCACGTGGTCCACCTCCCTTCCTATGGCAGTGTTTGAGCTCCTGGCTCCTGAGTGAGCCCTGAGGATCCTGCAGCAGCATCTCTGGGTGAACCTGAGATGATGTGATGTTTTGGGGCTGCACAAAAACAGAGTCAGCAGAGAATTCTGCAAGAGAAGGAGCCCTGGGAGAGTACTGGTGCCAACCGGTCTCCGAAATTGCTGCTACTTGATAGATAGGCAGCTCTGGTGTGGAATATTCTCAGCCTGTGGCTGACCCTGCTGAGGGAGGCTCATGGTGTGCAGGTGCTGGATGTGGAAGCAGTGAGTTTTGCTGTAAAAAACTTACACACAAAAGCAGCTTTTCTTGACTTTGTGGGTAATGTTAATGCAGGGTTTCTGAGCCAGCACAGCAGAGTGTGATGCCAGTGTACTCAAGTGTTCCCCTCTTGCCTTGCTAACTTCTTGCCTATTGCTCACAGGAACATTCAGGACGTGTCTTTAGGCTCCAGTTTGATGAATTTCAGATCATTAGTAGTTCCCATGACGATACAATTCTGATTTGGGATTTCTTAAACGTGCCACCGAGTGCCCAGAATGAGACCCGCTCCCCATCTAGAACATACACTTACATCTCCAGATAACAGTCTGCACTTTACTGCCCTCAGAAGGTAAGGAAGGCTCCCTCCTTTTATTGGGTGTGTTATAAATATCTGAAATGTTCCCTCTGCCTGCAGGTTGGCTTAGTCAAACAGCAAGATGAAGTTTTTCTTTTCATAAAGCCTGTTCATGCCACTTCTTTCACCATCTCGTCTTTGTGCAGTCACGCTGCAGCATGTCCTGTTATCTCACCCTCCTGTGTGGAATTGGGTACCTCAGGCATTTTGTAGAAAGCTGTTATGTATTCACAGCAGCCTCGGACAGGTGCTCACCAGGAAAGAGCAGTTCTGTGAGCACCACAAGGGGCAGAGGAAGCTCTCAGAGCTCAACATCGTGTCGTGTTGGGCACCTCGACAGCTCAGAGCTGTCCAAAATGGTGCCCAGGAACTTGGCCTGTTCTGTTTCCCTGTTCCTGCCAGTCAGCTCCAGTCAGTGCTCAGAGGCTCTGCTGTAGACTCCTTTGTTGGGACAGTGGATTCTTTTCCCCAGGTCACCTGTGCCAACAACTGAGCTTCAAACTATACAGAGCTGTGAGTGCTGGGCCATGGCAACACAGGCACTGCCTTCCCAAAGCAGAGCAGTCTCTGCCTGTGCCTGACTGGAGTCTTCCAGGGCACTGCAGACACCACAGCAGGAGGGGTTATGAGTGACATGGCCCCAACAGGAAGGATTTATTTTATCTGAAGTAGATAATGCTTGGTTTCAGTGTGATGTGAAAAGCTTTCCCTGTCTCCACACAAGAATGGATTTTCGTTATGTCTGGGTATGTTTGTCCCTGCTGTGGCAACATGTTCCTCAGGTTTTTCTCTCCTGTAGGATCTCTGCTTCTGGCTAGGAAACACCTTCCCTTGTGAAGACATAGTTTGAGATGCTGCTGCTTCAATCTGAGTTTGCTTTCTCCTGGAAGCATTCCTGGGGAAGTGTTGGCTGCCTTCCCTGCTGCTCAACTCTGCTTGTTCTAGAAAAAGCCAAGGCAGCTGCCTCTGCCTGAGCTGTGAGTGCTCCACCTAATCAGGCCATGATTAAGGAGGAAGTCTAATGGTGTGATGATGAGCCATGTGCAGAATCCCACTTAAACTTTCCCTTAAGGCCCTGTTTTAGGAACATTGCTGTAGAGTAGTTCAGTGAAACTCCTGGACTTGCTCATCCTGCTGCAGAGGGACAGCAGACACCTGGAAAGGCCCAACTGCTGAGCTGAATGTTTGTACAGGGTGGGGACAGGCTGAAAACACAACTCCATGGGAGAGAACTCCTGGAACTCCCCAGAGAGCCAGGCTTTCCAGTGCTGCCTGCCTTGTTCTGTTTGATCCCGGAGGACACACTTGCATCCCTTTGTGCTGTCCCTCGTGTGTCCCCAGGGACTCTGTCCTGCCCCTGCCATTGGCTTTGTGCCACTGGGTCCAGACCTAAGTGAGCTGCTGCTGTGGGAACTCCCAGGCTTCTTGAAGCTGAATAGTTTTCCCTCTCGGTGGAAAACTTCTTTGCCTCCTTTCTGAGTAATTCTATTATTTATTTTTCTTGCTTTCTCAGTCAGACAGAACAGGCTGCATTTTAGGAACAGTCTGTCTTCTACTCCGTGCACCCCTGCTTGCTTCTGGTAACTTGAAGATAATTTGAGATAGACCAATTCTTTTCTTACAGGAGTATATTGGGCTGCTTTTATTAGCTTTGATTCGTGGAAGAGCTACACATAATGTGTCTAAAGCATGAAAGAATCACAGTGTCCTGAGTGGGAAGGAAACCACAAGGGTCATCCAGTCCCACTCCTGGCCCTGCACAGACACCCCAACAATCCCACCCTGTGCCCCAGAGGATCCTCCAAAGCCTCCTGCAGCTCTGGCAGCCTTGGGGCTGTGCCCACTGCCCTGGGGAGCCTGTTCAGTGCCAACCACCCTCTGGGGGAAGAACCTTTTGCTGAGATCCACCCTGAGCCTGCCCTGACACAGCTCCAGCCGTTCTCTTGGGTCAAGAAATTAGGAGTTGAATAAAATTTACATCGATTCACTTGGACTAGCAGTGTGCTGGCGTGGGGCTTCCTTGTCACGTGGCCCAGATGACTCCCTGTCACTGGGATTTGCCAGTGCAGCATGAAATACCCTTGGCAGGGTGTTCTGCAGTTCAAATTCTGCACACTTGACAGTTCTGCACAGCTCAGTCTGGCTTGTCCCATGACACATAGCTGGAACCACACAGCCCCTGTGTCCTGGGACTTGTGTTGGTAATGACAGTCCCTTACTAGCTATTTCCTCTCCCGGAGAGATGCTGTGATGTCACTTTTTGACAGGTTTGTCTGACTTCAGAATCCAAAAACCATAGATCTACATAAAATTATGGTCAAACAGCTAATATTTCATTATGACATTTAGTGAAACAGTTTTATATGCTTTCAGACATTACAGTCTTCTGAATTTTGAAGCAGCCCTGTACACGTTTTTACAGGCTTTGCAATGTGAGGCCTCTTCAAAGTGGATCATTTTTGACAGTCCTGGCAATTGGCTGTGAGAGTTTTATTGCTTTCTGTTGAATTCCTGTTGTTTATGGTAACATGATAAAAATTGTTACCATATGATAGTCTAATATTCTTATATTAAGCACTAGGCCCTGGGCTGGGGGAAGGGAAGTCAGGGGGAAGTGCCTGCGGATGTTTTAACCTTTCCTGGGGACTTCCAATCAGAAGAGGGACGTTCTCCCTAGTCCATAAAAATGTCAGGGAAGTGACATTTAATTACACTCAGAACTTGCACAGCCTCCAAACTGATAAGGGAGTCATCAGGCTGGAAAAGGTCAACGAAATATCAAAGTATTTGAGTGTTGCGTCTGTTTTCTTGAAAGCTCCTCGTGTATTAAAGCAAGTGAACTCGCCTCCTGTGCAGAGCTGTTGCTCTGCAGTGTGATGAGGAAAGGACAGTGTCCTGGCAGGTGGGGGTCCCTGTTGGAGTAAACAGGGATCTGACCTGGGGGTCGCCTGGCAGTGCCCAGGGCAGGTTTGACTCTTACATGTCTAAGAAAACTGGCAGCCTTGGGTGACCCCCCGAGGAGCAGAGCCCTGCAGAGCCTGGCTCTTGCTCCAGTGGAACTCAGAGCATGTCCCACAGCACAGAGTCCCTGGGGTGCCTCTCCCTTGGAGGAAGGGCTGTGTTCACAGTGGGCATCCCTCAATGTCACGTCCTCCAGCTGTTCTGCCCTTTCCCTTCCAGCAAAGGATGGGCAGGGCCTGCCCAGCTCTGGATGCTGTTTGATTTGTACCTTTTCTCAGTTCACTTGTCTTTTGTCTTTTTCAGGGTTCCACAGTCTTGAACTACTGGATTTTTTGGCTACTACATGCCTGAAGATGTTGATTGACAGCTAAAGTCAGAATTGGTTCTAGATGCTGTGTAGTTGCAAAGCAGCACAATTCTATATCTAAATTTCTTAATCTTCCCTGCTCTCAGTGGTCGTCTTTGAATTTGCTACAAATTCACTGACTTGGAGTAGATGAATTTCAGAAGCCTATCCTTCCCTGCCGTGAGAAATCCAAAGCTTCACATGTAAATTGTCCGTAGAAACTGAACTCTGATGGCTTGTTTTTCAGAAATAAATCAGAAGTCAAGAAAGGACTTGGCCTAATTTATATTGCTTTGCACTTTTGTCTGACTTTAAAGAAAAAAAACAAACATTCTCCAACGAAATTTGGGTGCCAAACACATGCCCAGAATGTACAGAGCTTTGCTTTCCAGTCACCACTGTCCTTTAGGCGTTACTCATGCCAGGTTCAGAGCCCGTTCTGTTCATAGGAGTGTACGTTGGACTCTTACAAATATTTCTGACTCGCTCAGTAATATTTTTGGATGACGGTTTACTTGTTTCTGCACCAATAATTTCTTTTAAATTAAAGATTCCCTGTAATTCAGGCTAGGTTATCTGAACTAGTTGTATAGCACTGTCTTTTCCTTTTCCCTGTGCTCTGTACTCCAGCCGTCCTGCGCTTCCCGATGTTTGCTCTAGAAACCCCTGCCCATGTGTGCTTGCCTCATTTCAGATACTGTGTAAGCATGTAGATATGATGTACATACAGAAACCTCTGGTGCCAGAGTCAGGATCTCCTGACAGTACACACTAACACGCAGCGTGGGAGCACTTGGCAGCAGGATGTCCTGACTGTGGCACTGGTGGGGACATGAATTACTTAGACATTTTCTCTGCAAAAGGAGGTTTTCAGTATTCATTAGTTGTTTTTGGTTTCCTTTTTTTTTTTTTTTTTTTTTTTTTTTTTTTTTTTTTTTTTTTTTTTTTTTTTTTTTTTTTTTTTTTTTTTTTTTTTTTTTTTTTTTTTGTTTTGTTTTGTTTTGTTTGGTTTGTTTTTTTTTTAATGGGAACTACATATTTTAAAAATGTAATTTCTAAACTTTTTAAAAATTAAAAATTGTTTAATTTATGTTCTGTATCTTATATTTTTGTGCTGCGGTATTTACAGATGTCTGTCTTTAACACCAGCGGGTCCTCGCAGACACCTGCTGATGTCCTTCGGTAGCGTTAGTTTGGCTGCTCGGTGGAGAAGATACCATGGGCCAAAGTTCCATTTATTTATGTTTGGTTTGTAACACTTCCTTACGGTGCAGTGGAGGTCCCTTCCAGTCTGATTTCCGTGCTCATCCCCGTGCTGGTTTTCCATAACAATCTGCTGTGACCACGTGCCGATGTCCCGGTTCCTCCTCATTAGCATGGTTTTGTTAGACCCTCCACAGTTCCCCGAGTTCTCACGGTCTCCCCTGTCCCTGGTGTGGTTGTGCAGCTGCATTTTCCTTGGGTCAGGGTGAGCCGTGGCTGGCTCAGACACGGACACTCATCCTCCTCGACCGTGCTGGCTGTGGCTGTGCCCGCTGCCCTGCGGAGCTGTGCTGGCACAGACACGTCCTGGCGTTCCTCTGGCCGTGTGCCCGTCCTGCAGCACTGTGTGCTGTGCTCTGGCAGCGCTGGCTGGGTTTGTGTTTCTCCCGTTGCGGTCCCAGGGCAGGGCCGGGCGGTGCCGAGGCCGCTCTCTCCACGGGACCCTGCGGAGCGGTGTGGATGGCGAGGTGCTGCCGCCCCCCCGGCGGTGCCGCTGGAGGGGTTCCCTCCCCCCGGGCAGGGACAGTCAGACCCCCATTGCCATGTTCCCCAGCGCTGTCTCTCCTCGCCGTGACCGAACGTGCTGAAGTGCGGAAGATCCGGCGCTCTGGGCGTCCGTAAGGTCATTTTTGGTAAGCTTGGCAGTAGCTCGTGCGAGTGTCTTACTTCCCCCTCCTCATCTAACAGCTTTAATAATAAACTGGCTAAAAAGAGAAACCTGTCGCAGCCCTGAAGACAAAGGTATTTGTTTCCGAAGAGCGGAGTCCTTTTGTTAAAATGCATGTGTAAGATTTAAATTCCTGTTTTTTCCTTGGGAGATAATGGTATTTGAACATGCAGTCTAAAACTTCTTTGTGCTTTGTGTAACATAGCAGTGGACTTTTGTGATTGGCACCCAAGGAACTCGACTCCTGGGATTCATGGTAGTGATCCTGGCTGCACTCTGGACTTTGTTTTGCTAACCATAATTGAGCAACTGTACATTACTGCGATATTAATGTTTCAAAGCACTGGGATAGTCTAATTCTAACTTGTTTGCCAATTATCTGTTTGGAAAGTTGGTGTATGAACAGCTTCTTGAAACTGTTAAATTGTACAGATATCGTTCATGATCTAAAGCTTTGTACTGTGGAATGTGCTTAATAAAAAAAAGTTTGAACTTAATTTGTCTGGTGAATGGCTGAGTGACATCGTCTCCACAGCCCTCAGTCCCGTGCTGACTTCAGGCCAGGTTGGATGGGGCTTGGAGCAACCTGGTCTAGTGTGCCTCCACAGGAACATCAGAAGAATTTTTTCTTACTTTTATCAAGAATGCAGATAGAATTTTTAAAATATTACTTATCTCCTTGCTTGTTAAAACAACCTGAGCCCTGTGTCTTCCAGCGCTCACTCTGACTCAGGACAGGCTTTGTTCTGGGTTTTCTTTAGCTCGTGTGCAGTGACTGGGGAGAAAAGGGATTCCAAGTTGTCAGCTCTGCCCTCTTCCCCCCGCTCTGCTCTCAGTGGTTTTATTTGTGAGTTGAGTTCCCTTCAGATCAGTTTGAGCAGTTGCTGCCTGTGTGTGGTTAATGAGTTGCTCCAGTTCATTCCTGACCGGAGGTGGTCCGTGGTGCAGATCCCCTGCCTCGGGGGGACTGGCCAAGGCTGTGCTGCTTGGGCTGGCTTTGTGTGCCAGCCAGGGGGGCCACAGGGAGCTGCTCATGAAGCTTTGGGTTTGGGGAGATGTCTGTTGGAGCCACTGACCTGAAATGCTTTTCAAGGTGCTGTAAACCCTGTGGTAAGAATATGAACGTGGTCCTGGCTCAGTGCTGGCAAACAATCCTCAGAAAGCCTCTAACCCAGAGCACTTTTTATTCTTGACCCACTCTAGCACTGGGTAGTAGTTTCTAAGCAGAGTTGCTGCTGCTGAGGTTGAGGCTGCTCCCAGTGAGAGCAGCGGAGCCAGATCTCATCTGTCAGAAATGCACTGTGAAAGGGCAGCCTCAGTGGGCCCCTAACAGGGGTTGGGAAGGCCTTGCTGGGTATTGTTATCCCAATAAGCTGCAAAAGCTCTGTGATAGATCTGCAGTATAAACCCTGAGGTCAAACTTGAACATTCCACCTTACCTGGGTGGCCTTTGGTTTTGGTGGGTTTGTTGGAGTTTTCCTTGCAGTTGTAGCCTTTTTAGCAGTTGTCTGTTAATTCCCACCAGAGAACTTCCCAGTGAAGCTGTGGAGGCACCTCTCTGCTGGCTGTTCCACCCATCCTGGTGTGATTTGGGGCCCCTTTGGGCTCTCCCCTCCCACCAAGGGTTGGAGCATGTGAGCAAGGAGAGCAGGTCTGGGGGTCTGTTGGCCCTTGCAGGCACAGGGGGGTCTCGCTCAGGCCCGGCATCTGCTGCCAAACCCTGCCCACCCTGCTGGGGCCGCCCTGGATGGTGTTGGGACCCATCCCTGCCCTGCTGCTCTGCTGGCCCTGAGCGCTGCAAAGGGTGGGGAGGCCTTGGCAGGGGCTGCCCAGGGAGGTTTGGAGTGCCCAGCCCTGGAGGTGTCCAAGGCTCTGGGCTGGGCACAGGGTGGGGATGGGGCACGGGGGGGACTGGAAGATGTTGGAGGGCTTTTCCAACCTCAGTGATCCTGTGATTCCAAGAGCTCTGAGCACCTTGAGTGAGTCTGTGTCTGCTCCCCTGGGGGCTGTGGGGCACCCTGTGGGGATGTTCCTGCCGTGGCTCTGCAGCTCCAAACCCACCCACGGCTGCAGGGCCATGTCTGTTGGGTGCTCTGGTCTCCACCAGAGAGGTGAGAACAGGAGGTGACAGCTGGAAAGAGAATAGGAAAGCAGCCCTGTGCAATAGGGTGGGTGCTGAGCAGGGCTGTTGGCTCCAGCCCTGGGGGACAGCACAGCAAGGACATGGAGCTGCTGGAGCTGTGCCAGGGCAGGCTCAGGGTGGATCTCAGCAAAAGGTTCTTCCCCCAGAGGGTGGTTGGCACTGAACAGGCTCCCCAGGGCAGTGGGCACAGCCCCAAGGCTGCCAGAGCTCCAGGAGCGTTTGGACAACGCTCTGAGGGACAGGGTGGGATCATTGGGTTGTCCTGGGCAGGGTCAGGAGTGGGACTGGATGATCTGTGGAGGCCCTTTCCAGCTCGGGATGTTCTGTGTGCCAGCAGGAGACGTCAAGTGGTGTGAGTGCCCACTCTGGGAGAGGTTTCCCTCTGTTCATGGAGACAAAGGTGTGAAACATTCCCTGCATGTTTATGGATTGGGGGTTCCTGTGGGCATCGCTCAGCTCTGGCACTGCCTGGGAGGTGTATCCATGTGGGAATGGCCCCCTCTCTCCCTGGGAGGTGTATCCATGTGGGAATGACCCCCTCTCTCCCTGCAGCTCCACCAGGGCTGCTCCAGGCTCTGTCCAGGGTGGGGAGGCAGCCCTGGCTGGTGGCCCCTCTTTTATCCGAGGTTGGGGCTCAGGCTGAAGGAAAACCAGCTTTCCTTGTCGGGCTGATGTCAGGAGTCGCAGTTCCATCTTTTCCTTGGCACAGGTCAGTGTAAATAAAGTGAGGTGCCTTTGTATCTCTTGACTATTTTTTTTTTCCGCAGTTGAAAATTCTGTATTTTCTTTTCCTCCTTTTTTTCCCTTTGAAGGAGCCCTTTGAAGGTTTAATTTTTAATTTTTAATTTCCAAGCACATCATGCTGTTTTTTTTTTTCCCCTGTGAGGCTCCCACTAAGACGGGCTGGCCCTTCCATGTGGGGGGTCAGTGGGATGACTCTGCTGGATGAGCCTCTGGACAGCAGGAACTGAGCTGGGTCCTGGGTCTGATGGAACCTCCTCAGACTCGAGGTTTCACTCTGCTCTGGGCAGTAGCTCTTCCCAGCAGGTCTCAAACTGGGCTGTCTGTGGCAGGGTGTGCCTGCCCTAATTTGGGAATGGGTGGTTGAATTCTAGTGTATTTTGTAAAGAAAAAAAAAATCCAAGCAAACACAAACCAAACAAAAGCTGTGGTGAGATTACAGAATTCGAATCTTTCAG